ACATGGGCAGACAGTGTCGGAGAGGGCACGTTCGCCGGGCTTCTGTACGCTGATGATGCTACGCCCTTACTTGATCAGCAAGTGGTCACATCCGTCCCGCCCCTGCGGGCGGCGTGTCGGACAGGGGTGCTGACTTGCATCCCTGTGGGGAGCGGACGGCGCGGTGACTGCACGTTCGCCACTGTAGGGGACACGGGTCTCTTCCTGGACCGTAGCGGTTGTCATATGCTTATGCCAAGTTCCGTGCCCGAGGGCTTGATGGCGGCGCCTACAACACTGTAGGATGAAAGACGGCGCCTACAACACTATTTAGGCTCTGCTATGCCTGGAAGGGTCTAAAGCGCTTGTCCCGTCGTAGCCTGACGGTACTTTCCCGCAGTCATGCAGGGCATGGTCCTCAGTACTGTGGTTGACTCAAATGTCCCGTCGTACCCTGTGCTTGTCATTATGAAAGAGCAGGGTACAGTCGTCAGGTGAGGAGGAGCTTGCCCTCAGCCGTCGAGTGAGGCGGAACCTGCACTTGGACGTCGGGCAAGGCGGAGCCTGCCCTCAGTCATTGGGTGAGGCGGAGTCAAACCCACGGGGGTTGGACGGGGCAGAGCCTGCCCTCGGACGTCGGGCGAGGCGGAGCCTGCCCTCGGACGTCGGGCGAGACGGAACCTACCCTTAGACGTCGGGCGAGGCGGGGCCTGGCCTCAACCGTCGGGCGAGGCGGAGTCCAGCCCTTGGGGGTCGGGCGTGGCGGAGCCTTCCTTCGGTTCTCCGAGCAAGAAGTGTAGCTGCATCCTTGTCTGTCACATCCGGCCCAGTTTGGAATTTGGCCCATGTGCAAGTGAATGAGATATTGTAGAGAGTTTAGTCCCACCTTGGTTGTTAAAGGTGAGATAGACCAACATATAAGGCTTCTAGAGTCCATCCCACCATCACCGGGTTAATCGTTTTACGTGAAGCGAGGACGAAAGCGTAAGTGGGATGGTGGTAGGTGTGGTTTGCTCAACATGCAGAGTGGATCTGAGCCGTTTGGACTCTAGAGTGTTACAAATGGTATTAGAGCCGACCTTCGTGGCCACGGGCGCGTGCGGGTCAGGTGTGCGGACATGGGGTTCATTACGCGTGTAGGCCCTGCGGGGTGCACGGCATAGCACATGTGCCGGCACTGGACGTACGGTCGCATGTGCTAAGAGGGAACGTTCCTGGTCATCGTTTGCCGGTTGTGGGTGTGTTGGGCCGACGAGGACGTCGGTTCCTTTGAGGGGGGGGTGTATGTCACATCCGGCCCAGTCTAGAATTTGGCCCATGTGCAAGTTAATGAGATATTATAGAGAGTTTAGTTTCACCTTGGTTGTTAAATGTGAGATAGACCAACATATAAGGCTTCTAGAGTCCATCCCACCATCCCCGGGTTAATCCTTTTATGCGAAGCGAGGACGAAAGCGTAAGTGGGATGGTGGTAGGTGTGGTTCGCTCAACATGCAGAGTGAATCTGAGCCGTTTGGACTCTGGAGCGTTACATTGTCAGTTCGGGAGCATCAACGTTTGATGGTTATTAGTTCCACTCTATCGGGTACCCCAGTATTAGGTCCCCAACACCATGCCAGTCTCCAATTCTATCACTCCTTCGCTCACACATCTGCACTACAACTACTAAGGAATTAAACACAGCAACACTCTTTTCTTCAGCTGGAAACTCTCTGACTTGCATCTACCGATTTGCACTACTTGAACCACCTACACTAAATCTGCCCATTTCTCCTCTCTAATGAAGTACAGTGCCTCTGCCTTCTCATGAAATTCAGACTCCGCCTACTTTCTCTGAACACACAAGTCTGCTAACATATCAGGTTCACTACTCTGTCAAACTATCACTGCTTTGATCACTTGCTGCATACGGTAAAATACAAAACAAGATAATATTTGTAAAGGCAAGTAATTTTGACTAATTTATTTGCAATAAGAGGATCATGAAAAAGTAACTTAATGATACAACATACTCCTGTAGTATAATGACAACCACAATACATGGCAATGTCGCAGGACAATTCTTGTTCTAAGTGTGATAACACAAGACGGTCAGCATTTGTTTGCTAAATAAATCAAGATTGCTGAACGAATTTTATTTTTTTTAAAAGATGAGAACTTTATCTAGTCCCCACTAAACCAATCTAATCACATATGTACATTCTCAGATAACTGAACTGCTTGTCATCTTTCTATTTTTGTCAGTAAAATTATCTGAGCTTCATATTTATAACTTGGACTCAACATGGCCATGCCAAGACATAAAAAGTTACCTTAGTTACAATATCATTATATTAAGCACAATAACATGGCAGCTGGTTGTGCTCAACATCAAGCATCAGTGTATCAATGCCAACCATTGACTCATCCTGTAGAGTTTACAAATGTAAGCCATGACAATAAAATTGCAACAATTCAGGGCAAGTTCAGTTTATTACCTGCAGAAAAGTTCTTGCATTCCCTGTTTTTCAAGGTTTAACTTCAGTGAGAAATCATCATTCTTTTCCTTGCCTGCCTACATCAGATTGTTCAAAAATAAACAAAGATCAATCCACAGACATTTTGCAGTGCAGAGATAACCTTATGGCTTGGCTTGGTGTTGCTGTTATGGGGACACCAATTCAGCGAACGAGTTCTGGAGGTGCAAAGGCCTGATGCCATACATCTAAATACCATCCAGTGTAATAAAAAAAATAGCAAGCCAAAAATTCAGTGGCCATAAACAAAGTTGACAAGAGAAAAATATCTAATATATTTCACCAGTAAAGTATCTAAGATTGGTACACCAAGCTCATGATTTGAGACTCTCAGTAAATAAATAAGGCTCGAGCTACGTGAAATGAGATTGGTATAGACAAATGGCTAACTATGCTAAAAAAAACAATGGCATCCAATGTGTAGGAACACAATATCAAAAAAATTAGATGATTTCAAGGATAACTTTGATGCCTAACTATGCTATAAAAACTGGCTAAGCTAATTAGAAGTATCCACTGGACGCAAGAAAATGGTAGCATTATCGAGCCTCTATTCAGAACCAGGGATACGATGAGGTAGCTGTCAAGATATATGAGAGTTTAATGAACTTCATACTGTATCAGAGTTTATCGGAAGAACGTAGAATACTGTTAACATACCAGCAGGAGTGATCGCTAACCCTTCCTGCGCCTTCTTGCACCATCCAAAAATGGTTTGGTTGGAGTTTGTTTTGTCCAAAAAGTTCTAAGAAGAAATAAGAGAAAAACTTCCCTCACCTAGCCATCTCCTTTCTTCCCAAACCAGGCCAGCACATCCACATCCCTCGGTTCCAGCCTGCCTAGATTTGCCAAAGTAACGCACAGGCTCGGGGTGGCTTCGTGGACATAAGCAAACAGATTTGTTGTCCAACCAGATCGAGAAGAGCGCAACAACCAGATCGACGTAGGACATCGAATTGAGATTAAGAAGAAGGCAAATGGACAAAAAGGAAGATGGAGATCGAGAGGAGGGGACACGAACTTCTGTGTCACAACGGCGACGACAACTACGAGGTACTCAGACGGCGGTGAGGTAGACTTGGGGGAGCCCCACACTTGGCGACGAAGATGAGGATGAGGGCGCCCTCTACCCGGCACTTCTGCCTCGGGCTTGCCAGCGCTCGAAGCGTAGTCGCCGTCGCTCCATCCTGTATCCGTGCGCATACCCGTTGGCAGGGCCAGCCGTCGCATCCGCGCGCGCAATGGGAGTGGGTCGACGAGCTCCTCTCTTAGCCACGGCACGAGAAGGCGGCGGCGCAGGCGAGCGCGGCGGCGCGGAAGAGGAGGCGGCATCAGGGCGGCATGGGCTAGCGCGCGCGACGGCGAGGGCGAGGGCCGAGGGAGAGGAAGCCTGATTGCAGGCGAGATCTCGCATGGGGAGGGGCGCAGCGCGGGCGTCGTGAGCCGCAGGGGAAGGCAAACCGAGGGAGCGACGGGTGCGGGATTGCAGGCGTGGGCAGACAGACGAACCAAAATAAATCTCACACCAAAAAATGTCCACGCTTTGTTCTTTTTAGTTGTATGAGATATACAGGCCCGGCCTTGGGGGGGTTCGAGCTGTGCGGCCGAACAGGGCCCTCGATGCTAAGGGGCCTGACCCCAGATACGTAAGTAGGTATAGTATATTCGTTCTATGGCCCCAAAGCTACAGCCTAGCAAGCTAGAAAGGCATGTACGTGGCTGCCAATTTGTCTTGCCTCGCGTCGATTCAGCTAATTGCCTTCCGCGATCGCGGCGCGTTACGCACTTCAGACTTCCGCTGCGGCTGCGATCGCCTTCTTCTCCGCTGCGACCTGCGACTATGGAGAGGCTGCGGCGCAAGGGGTGGTGGTGCGTCGGCATCGTGTGCTCAAGGCAACAACTAGAACCAGCGACCGGCGCTGCCCACTCGATTCCCGGTCTGCGACGCATTTAACGCATAACGCAGGTAAGAAATTGCCCCTAAGCCCCTTGATTGTGCTTGTGTATGTATGTCAAGTATATATTCTTTAGATTTGGGATTTAGGAATCCCTTACGGTGCAGCACGCATGTTTAGTACCACATTGAAATTTCTGAAATTCCGAAACTAAATTGAGTATTGTATAATTTTCTTAAATTATTTTCTAATTTCTAAATTTATAGTAAACTCATGTTGCCCAAAAAGCATGCATGTGGAAGTAAGAAAACAAAAAAGAAGAAAGGGATAGAAGACTTCATACAATCACAAGAAGAAGAAAAAATAATATATTATATTTATTCAAAACATCGTTATAGTATTAGAGTTATATTAAAGGCGGGCCCATTTTTCTAGCTCCGCTCCAGGTGACTAGATTCACAGGACCGGGCCTGGAGATATAGTTGGTCAAATGAGCCTCGAGATAGTGTTAATGGGAGCTGCAACATCAAATATACAAAGAATGAAATAGAGCTTGCTCCTTTATTTGAAGGGGATATACATGCTACATGCCTGCACAGGCATCTAGTTACTACGTTTTTAGTATCGCAGCCTCACTATCGCTTGTGCCAGCACTGTCACATGGAAGTTGAGGTCCAGGAGAGTCAGCAGGCTGCTCGCCCTTGTACCGATATAAGTGCGAGCATATGAGGAAGTAGATGAAGTTGACCGCGCCGAGCATGGCCATGGCGTAGTAGAAGTAGTCCAGTCTCCCGGCATTGATGTCATCGCTGACCCAGCCCGCGGACCCGCCGTGCCGCCTCGTCCTCGCGTTCACGATGTTGACCACCAGGGTGGCCAGGTAGCTGCTGGCGCCCTGCGCGCAGTAGAACGCCGCGTTGGCCAGCGTGCGCATCTGGTCCGGGAACTGCGTGTTGTAGAACTCCATCTGGCCGATCATGGTGAACGTGGCCGACACGCCCATCAGGGCGAGCTGCGGCGCGAGGAGGAACACGGACAGCGGGGACATGCCGTCGCCGTGGCCCAGCGCGGAGCTCCTCCGCCTGCGCTCCACGACGGTCGCGAGCACGAACGCCAGCGAGCCGACCACCTGACCTGCGCCCTGCCTCTGGAGCAAAGTGATGCCGCCGCTACCTCCCGCTCTCGCCTTGGTGAGAAGCTGCGCGGCGCGGACGATGACCAGGTCGTAGACGGGCACGAAGAGCGCCACGGCGAGGTAGAACACGGCGACGATCGACACCGCCGGAATGGTGAAGCGCCTGCCCATGTGGGGGTCCATGGTCACGGACTGGATGTACGTGTAGTTGATCATCTCCGTCATCAAGATGAACCACACCACGCCGGAGACCCACACGGGGACGATCTTCACGAGGCACTTCACCTCCTCCACCTGCTGCACGCTGCACAGGTTCCACGGCCTCGCCGGGGAGCCGTCGTCGGCCCGCAACTCGTCGGCGTCGGTCACGATGGCCGCCTTGTTCAGAAAGCTGAGCTGCAACGTGAGGGGGAGCCTGAGGACGCGGTCGGGACCGTCCCCAGCCGCGGCCGGATCAGGGTGGTTGTGCTTGTACAGCACCTCCTCCTGCCGCCGAGCGTCATCGGGGTGCGGCAGCCGGAGCCTCCACTTGCGGCACGACGCGACGGCGACCCGCGCGACGCTCGTGAATATGCTGCCCTCGGGCTGCACGTAGACGTAGACCGCGGTGCCGGCGAGGAACACGACGAAGGCAACGAGCATGAGCGCCGTGGGGATGGCGAAGCCGAGGCCCCAGCTCACCTTGTCCTGGACGTACACGATGGCCGTGAGCACCAGGAACGTGGACACCATCGCGATGGCGTAGTACCAGTTGAAGTAGCGCGTGAGCCCGGCCTTTTGCCGCTCGTTGGTCACGTCGAACTGGTCCGCGCCGAAGGGCAGGGCGGTCGGGTTCGTGCCGCCCGCGGACACCACGAGCAGGCCCATTCCGACGTAGAGCACGGCGCGGTGGAGGCCCGACGGGCCGACGCACGTGCCGGCTTGCTGGGCTACGGCGCTGCACGACGGCGGTTTGAGCTGACGGATTGTCGCCGACAGGGTGATGACCACCATTCCCTGTATGATACCCAGTGGTCAGCCACTCAGTGAGACCATTTTTTCCGCAAAAAACAAAGAAAAAAAACTCAGAGAGACCATTTGTACAAGCGACACATGTCTGGTATTTTTCCTTAGTCCGAAACAAGTGTCATTTGGGTTTGCAAAATCTTTGCCCATTGGTGTGGAGACAACAGCTAACAAGTGTCCTATGATGGATAATGAATGACATGGGGCTTGTTAATAACTCACGATAACCCCGAAAACAGATCCGAAGAGCATGGTTCTGAATCTGCCCCAGAAGGCGTCGGCGACGAAGGCTCCAACAACAGGCGCGAAGCTGGACATGCCAGAATAGATGTTGTTCACGTTTGTTGCGGCATTTGGCTTCATGTTATAGCGGCTCATCAGGTAACTCGTGAGGGGCGTAGAGAAGGAGTTGGACGCCATAGTAGCTGCCGCGAAGAAACCTGTATCACAAGATTGAAAGCAATGGGTGAGATGAGACTCATTCATCTAGCGGTCGTTTCTGTTTCTTTGTGGAAAATCAATCTACATTGCCGGCCGAGAGAGATGAGACAACACAACCAGAGCAGTTTTGAGACATTTTTTCAGCGATGAATGTGAATCTTTTTAAGTACTTCAAAAGCAGAATTTACTTTTCAAACACTTCCTAGCCCTTTAGCAGTGGGGATTCGATGCAAGAACCTGATATGATGCTTGAAACCGTTGAAAAAATAGCAAAACTAAACAGTTGAAGAATATGCATATGCATGAAGCTAAAAGATGCCGTGAGGCGTGAGAGACCGATGATGAAGGCGACGGCTCTCCATCCTCTATGCCTGCGATGGCGTCCCCCCTCGCCGGCAGCCTCTTCTCCCAAGAGGCTCAGCGCTGCCGTGGGCCGGCTTGAGGCCATGGATACTTCTGGCCGTCTACCCGTGCACATCTGTATCAACTGCGCTGCTCTTCTTGTTGAAGGAGGCAACAATGGCTGGCCTGCGATCGAACTTCCGATAGGATGGCGTTCACTGTGCAGCGGATGGGAGAGGAGGAAGGATGGATGGATTGATGAAGGGGGTGTGGCGTTGCACACCAGTATTTGTACCGGCCTGCCCAGAGAAAATTAATCTCTGACTTGTCTCTTCAGTCCTCGCGCCGGTTATTATTTGAACCATGGCGCCTACTTTCCTGTATCTTCGTTTCTTTATATTTTCAGGACAAAGTAGTCTGGTGACAATTGTCTTGGCTCTACTTTCTTGTTGTACTCGTTTCTTTTTTATATTTCTCAAGATTTTGGATTACTTTCATTCTTTCTTCCTCGAGCAAGTCTTTGCTTTATTTGGCGAGGTGCGGCACTTGCGCGGGGAGCTGGAAGCTTCCCAGAAGGCAAAAGAGGAGCTGCGCCAGGGTCTGATCAACGCCAACTGCTTAGGTGACAATGACATGGTTCAAATAATAACATGCCAATGTCGAAAAGATGGATATATGGATGCATAACCATGCTAGAGTATGACATTCCAATCTTCTTATAAACTAAACAATGGCATTCCCATCTCGCCCTGCAATCGGGTCACCTAAAAAGGCACGATTCGTCCTGCCGCACCCGCAAGTGGAGGACAGGAAAGTAGTTAATGGAACATACTCTGCTGCTTCGTCTCGCGCACCTGGCCGCTGTTTCACGTCTCTCGTGCGGACAGCATGCATTATATATGCAAGATAGTGAGTCGTGGTCAAAATAATGTCTAGCGACGTTCCTCTCTTTTATTTTCTTCTAATCCTATTCTAGTGTAGCACATCCCCCCCACCCCCACCCCCCCCCCTCCCAAAAAAACACTCACTTGCCAATAGCCGTGGATTTGTGTCTTTCTAGAATGCTTATTAGATTTATAGATTAATAGATTTTTTATATGAATATACGTCAAATTTCACCCCCCGTACATAGGATGGTGGTTGTAGTTGTGGGGTGGGGTGGGGTAGCGAGATAGTAGGGGCACTACTATCCACAAAAGGGATGGTGGTGTCTGAAAAACATTGATTTAGCAAGGCAGACAAAAAACACATCACATCAACAATGGTTAGACGCTATTGCAATCGCCCCTAAGCTGTTGGAGGGCAATGGTTCGTGTCACGTAGGGAGAGTGTATGATGGTCAAGGTGATTGGGAATCTACCCTCCACATAGGTGGAAGTTAACGTTTTCTTTGCTCACTCCTCATTTCAATGCTAGGTGGGTCCTATCGCGCCTCTTCTCCCTCCTCTTCCTTCCTCCTCCGTCATTGATCACCGAGGTTATGGTTAGCGCTCATGGGTTCAGGGTGTTAGGGGTCGGGGATGGAAGAGGGGTTCGAGGGTTATGGAATCTCTAGGTTTAGAATGGGTCTTCGAGGCAATGACCATTCTTATGGCGGTGTCTATGCATTGGGAGTAGGTGCTACGATGATGGACATCCGATGACAATGGCAGGCGACAAGGGACAAGCTAGGTTAGGAAAGGACGGAGTTGGAGGACTGAGTAGCAAGGCGACACTCACCAGGTGCGGGTGGCAGAAGTGGTGGCGATGTTCGGCAGGAAGCTACGATGTTGTAGAGGTGTTGGCACTAGCCGTGGGGATGAGAAGAGCGCCAATCGCTGGGAAGCGGTCAGAGATAGAAGAAAGATGCTGGGTGTTGGAATTAAATTCCTCCAACTAGGTGCATGCCATTGTAATAGGATCCCAAAGTGATGATAGGTAGACTAGGCGGTCACATATGCACACGTGAAAGTTTGGCGAGTTGGTGGATATCGAGTTGCTATGGGGTGTTTGGATTCAAAGAGTAAAAATTAGCGAATCGCGTGCTAATAGACTAAACATGGACTAATCAGGGGTTTATAAGAGCTAATGGAGGCAAATTACCCATCAACTCCTCCTTAATTAGCTCTTATTAGCCCATGATTAGCCTTCCTTTTTTATATCAAAACCTACAGACTAAATTTTACCTAATGCAACAACACTATGCATAATGCCTTCGTGAATGTCTACTTACTCGGGATGTGAACCAAACGAATCGAAATAACTTTGGTTTGTGGGGGGACAATTTTGAACGGTGTCATCATGCAAACCAAACAAGCTAACTGTCGGTTAGAGTAACCACAATGTATTTGGACCAAGTAGTCCATATGAGTAGGTCCGATGACAGTGGTCTATAACTATTTCTATCTCTACAATGTAGCATGATCAAAATGAACTATTTATGTGAACCCTCCAGCAAAAAAACACTAGACCACAGTCTAACATTACACAAGGGAGAGAGAAGATAGAGAAAAAGTAACGTTGTTCTATTCTTATAGGTGGTCTATAAGCATATAGGTAACTGCTGCTATAGACTACTCTATGGACTAGTTACACAATGTATCAGACTTGAGCATTTTACGGGTCGGCCCGAGCAAAAAAAAAAGCTTGGTTATTTCTTGCTAAAATAATCCCGACCATGACCGTCCCATTGGACGAGTCATGCCTGTTTTTTCCGGCTGGGCTCAGGCAGCCCAGGCCTAGACGGACCCCCACGTATTTTATAGTGTAAAAATAGCTAAAATAAATATTTCAGACTGAGCTTAGGCTGAGAAAAATTTCTCTCGACAGCAAGATGTGTGTCCAGGTCCTGTCCACTAATGTCCATACACAGGCCAAAACCCAACGGGCTCAGGCTGGACTCAAAATGTTCAGGTCTACTCTCACACCGAAGTCCAAGCGAAAGAAATGAGTCGGTCAGTGGTTATTGCGTTTCTGGATCTTCTGCCATAGCTAATGACCCCGGATCCAATGACCCACCGCCGCATTCATGGGCTTCTTCGGGACTACAGTCTGATTATCTCCCCGAGATTGGCGAGATTCAACCGCTTGCCGTCATCTTTTTCAGCAGCGAAAAGTTTTATCCTATTTCAACCTCGAGATGTTGCTAATCATGAATACAATAGAACGGCGTATGACTAATGGACTTAAAAAAACATATAAAAACATATTTTCCTTTGGAGGAAACTATCTAGTGCCTTCCTAAGTTCCTAGAACGAGTTAGGGTAATAAGAAACCAATAGATTACGCGTCTGGAAAACATGTGTGTTCTGGATCCAGTAGTATGCTTACTTTTATTCGAGCACAATACATCTAATCTACATACCTTAATTAATAGGTTTTGATTTGACGTTTTAAATCAAGAAAGCATAGCCTTTTACCTTAATTGATTTGACGTTTTATATGTTGAAACTTCAAAACTTTCTTTTTAAAAACAGCTTCAAACCTTATTAGTTGAAAACAGCTCCCTTCTGTTATAAAAAAGAAAAAAAAACAATTACAGGTGCACGTATCTAGTGCGTGTGTAAAACATGTAGCACGGAAGCCCGCATACTTATTGGCCTTTTAATCAGAGGCCCGTTAGGCTTCCACAACACGTAGCTAGCAGCCCATGACCTTCTTTTTGTCAATGTTGGGCTTGGACACGACGGTGCCGTCGTTGCCGGCGAGCGCCTTGTACTTGTCCTTCCGGGTGAAGTTGGTGCACTCGTAGGACAGCGTGGACGCGATGAGGCGCTGGATGTAGTTGGCCACCTCGTGGCTGCTCTTGCCGCCGCCATTGCAGGTGAGCTCGGCTGGGAGCTTGTTGAGGAACGTGACCACGTACCCGGGGCTCGGGTTCATGAAGAAGTAGAAGGGGTCCAGCCCTTTCCACCCTCGCGCCGTCGTCCCGTGGAACATGCTCATCTGGTTCTCCATCGCCACCGGCACGATCTCGTCCGTCAGCTCCGCGAACAGCGCCGAGAAACGGAGCAGGAACGGCTCGCGGCACGTCGTCCCCTCGGGGCAGATCACCAGGTCGCCCTCGGTCAGGAGGCGCCGGATCATGGCCGCGTCGGCGGCGCGATCTCGGGTCAGGCGCACCGTGCGGATAGGCGACAGAATTTCCGACAGCCGCGAGACCTGTTGAGAAATCAACATCATAATATCGGTCAGTGTTGGTTGATCAGTGGATAGATTATTTGATGTGACTTGCATGACATGTGACATCGAAGTCGCATGACAAGTACCGAGTAGGTGACGGCGGTGATGGGGCGGCCCAGGGCGGTGGAGAGGAAGATGGGGTCGAGGAGGGTGCGGTGGGAGCAGATGAAGAGCACACCGGTCTGGCCCGTCTCGCGGCTGGCCGGCGGCGGAGGATTGCCCCTGATGGTGACGCGGACGCCGAGGGCGCGGAACGCGTGGTACACCATGCGCATCGGCAGGAGCGCGCCCGCGGCGATGCGCAGGCACGCAAGCAGGAACCCGATGGGGATCCAGAGCACGGTGAGCAGCGCGAGCGCCGGGGACGGCTTCTGGACGAGCCGCCCGTCGTGGAAGACCACCGGCTTCGGCAGGTTCTCGCGTGGCACGGGCTTCATCTTGGGCGTCGCCGGCACGACGTAGCCCTCCTTGCACAG